CCTTCTACCAAGACTCAATTGTTTGTATATTTGTTCTTTCATAAATGTGGAGATTTTCCCAATGAAACTATTATTATGAAAATATAGTTTTTGACCTCATTAATGTAAAGAAATGGGAAAGTAATGTTTTACCCCAGCAGTGTCACTGCCGGCTGAATGTAATGAAAATACAGACTCCAGGTGGTATTAAATGTACAATACACCTCGGGGAGTCTGTTTTGCCTTTAATTATTAAAGTGTTAATTAAAGGTCTGAATGTGAACTCGTATGTAACCATGCTGATTGACGATCGAATAACTGATGACCCTCCAGGTCACAAGTAGTATGGTGACATTTTGTCACCCATGGGCCTAGTTGGCTCGGACTGTAGCTAGCAGTCGGGATGTGGGAGTGTCTGTCCCGTATAGATCTTTACACATAATGCCCGTTCTCCCTCCAGGAGACTCTGGTTACACGGTGATAGCACAATGAAGTGTCGTATCGAGAAGTAGTATGTCACATTCTGTTTTAGTATATTCTCTTATATATCGTATAATGTACTTTCTGGCATAATGTATAGAGTGTTCTCTTGTATAGTATATAGTATTCTCTTTGTATAGTATTTAACATGTATTGACTCATGATTGTACTGACTCTGGTAGGTTCCAATGTAATAGTAGTAATGAGTAGAAATCCTTAACTATACCTATTATAGTTAAATAGTAATGTTGGTTGCGTGCCTTTGATACACAAGGCACTGAACTGAAATGAAGACTTTTATATCTAACACAAATATATATGATATATAACTAAGAATTCAATGACATTCGGACAAATAACAGAATACCCTAAGTCCACGACCAAACAAGGAACAGGAAGTAAGGTGAGCTATCAGTCCTAAGTCCTTCAAGTCTTAATTATATAAATATATTAGTATAGATATGGTTTTGTAGATAAAACAAGTTTAAAAGAGTTTCAAGTTTAAGGTGAGCTATCAGTCCTAAGTGTCCTAGGGTTGAATCAAAGGCTTAGGAAGTGGTTAGGGCTCGAAATGGCACTCCTTTGGAGTTTGCGGTCCTTGGACCACTCCTTGGGAGTTTACGGTCGTAAACCATAGAGTTTACGGCCGTAAACTCTTGGCCACTTCATCTTTTACGTGTTTTGTGGTTCCTAGTTCATGCATGCAAGTTTCTAGCCTCTTGTCCAAGCATTAGATGGTGTTTAGGGGCATCAAAACACCACCTTGTAGAGTTTACGGCCTAAGGACCATATCCTTATGTGTTTACGGTTGTAAACTCTTATGGGAACGTCTTTTGATTGTTGTTTAACGTCTTAAACACTTCTAGGAAGGATCAAGGCTAATATCCAAGCCTTAGGAAGGGACTAAGGTCCATTTATCCTCATTTAGAGGAGTTTACGGCCCAAGAACATCCCTAGGCCCGTAAACTCCATTGATCGTGTGATTCTCGATGATTTTCAAGTGTAAACGAGTTCCTATTAAGCACACAAGAAGCTAGGGCAAGTGTACTTACAAGATAGAAGCTTGATTGGGTGTTTAAGGTCCAAGAACACTAGTGTGTGTTCTTGGTGTTCCTGGTGTTTTGAAGAACACTTGAAGATCTAGATGAAAAGCAAGAATGAATGGATGAAATGATGTATAACTACTAGATGTTAGGTTATAACCACAAATCAAGTCGAGAAATACTTACGTTTTCGGAAGATCGGGTGAAGAACGGGATGATATTTGAGAGAGAATGGGGAGTAAACTTGAGGTTGGAAGTTGGAGAATGAAAGAATGGAGAGTAAACTCATGCTTTGTGCATGAGTTTGCAGCCCTAAGGGAGTTTACGGCCCAAACTCCACAAGTTTGGCCGTGAACTCCTTATTAAGGTGTTACGTGTGTGTTTGCTACTCCGAGACCCGAGAGAATACTTCCTTTTATTCGTTCGTTTCAAGAATAATTATTAAAAATAATCAGACGGACTTTAATCCGGCTAAAAATGTACTGAAATGTTTTTGACTAAAATTTGACGTGTTTGACTGTAGAAATTATACAAATGAAAATTTCGGGTTGTCACAATATTTGTCCGAAGGTCATTTCCTTCTTAATTATATACATTATACATACGGGAATATGAAAGGTTACTTCAGTCGGTATCATTACCTTTGTATCATGTTGAGCAAAGAGATACTTTCAGGATAGATCATGCTATTAGATAGAACGTATAAATTATAATAGGTATAATTTATGAAACAAATGAGAAATCTATTTTTCCTAGATAAGTATACGAGGTCTGAACTACTTTATCAAGAAAAGGATATAATTTGATCTTTATTCAAAGTAAAATGTGATGGTACGTATTCAGGACATAGCAACACTTGCTATGTTATATTCTTGTAACCAGAGTCTCCTGGAAGGAGAGCGGGCATTGTGTGTATAGATCTATACGGGACTGACAATCCCACATCCCGACTGCTAGCTACAGTCAGGCAGACCAGCCATGGGGTGACAAATGTCACTTATTCAGTTTCGACACCAGTAGGTCGTCGTGTTCATTCTAGTCCAACATGGTTACAACTTTATCACAATTTAAATCCTAATTAACCAGGTTAATATTAGGGTAGTTATTCACCAGTAGTTTGTTCTTTTTAAGAAATACTACTGTAGTATTCACTTTCCATAATCAAAACGGAATAGTTTTATAGGGATTTAAAACTACTTATCGGAACGGTTTTATGGGGATTTAAAATTACTTATCAGAACGGTTTTATGGGGATTTAAAACCACTTTTTACCATTAAAACGGAAAACATTCTTTTCATAATTTTATGAATAGTTAAAATTATGTTAAACCTTATTATAAGTATAATATTACTTATATGGAATAGTTTTATAGAATTAAAACTACTTATCAGTTGTAAAACAGAAAATATAAAATTTTTTGGAACGTCATCATTCGTTCACTTAAAACTAGTATAACATAAAGGACCTTAATTGGTTAATTTTATAATTTCTTAGTTTATACACCAGAGTTATACATAATTAATATCCGACTGATAGTGAAATATGTGACTTTCGTCTTACTTCCTGTTCCTTGTTTGGTTGTGGGCTTAGGGCATATTCACACATTTAACTGTCAGTTCGATATTAGGTTATATATGACTAGTATAAACCAAGTAATTGTAGAAGGAACTATTATGGTTATCATACTGTCACGTCAGAAAATATAGGATTTTCTGGAGGAACCAGCTAACTTTTCCAAGAACTTAGACTATGCTTCACATAACTAAAATACTTAGGAACTCACCAGCTTAAATGTTGATCTACTCTTTCAAAATAACTTGTATTCTCAGGAATCCAGTAGACAGGTACACTCCCGAAGCTTTTGGGAAGACTGCTTAGTACCAATCTGCGACTCTTGTCTTCTATTGTATCTACTTTGATGTTTGAATATGTAATGTTTAAACACTTATGTAAAACTTATACTTATTAATGCAATGGTTGTTTTTACTTTGATTACTATAATTCATGTGTTGTGATACTTACATGACGTCCTCCGCCCCCGAACGTTTCTGCCGTTCTGGTTTGGGGGTGTGACACGCATTTATGACACACATTTACGACGCGCGTTTACGACGCGCAATGCGTATCAGGGAAGCCCCTATCATAAAGGAAGACGACACGTATTTGTGTGTCGTAACCTTACGACGTACGTTTAGGATACACATCGCGTATCATTAAAGCCCCTGTCATAAATGAAGATGACATGGATTTTCGTGTCATAAACTTCAGCAACCATTTACGATATACATTTACGACGCGTCTTTACGATACTCATTTACGCATAATACAACAATATGGAAACAAATATATACCAAAACAATCAATTTCATCCATAACATCATGTCAAAAAATTGTAATACATTGGTATTATGGGGATCTGATTGTATATTGTTATTAAGAGGTTTTCCCTAACTATATATTGCTATTAAGGAACACCTTCTTCTTTCTATTTCTTATTGTTATACTTCTGTTTCCACATGATACCTGTTTTCATCATCAACACATTAGTAGTAACATACCTTTTTCCAAGAATCCAAGTTTCAATACAACCCATACATGTACAAAATAAAATACAATAAATAAGAAAGATAATTCATTCCAAAAGCATGTAGTTACAACAAAAGAATTGAAAATATCCAGAAAAGAGTCAAAAGACACAAAACTCACATGGAAAACAACAGAGGGATTGAAATTTTCTAAAAAAATCACAGTAAAGGTGACTGAACCAAGTTGCAAAGAGATGCCATCTTCAGTCACCACAGTTGTATGTGCTCTCTAATAGTAGTATAGTATGTTTCCCATAAGCTACAAAAAATAAGTAATCAAGTTAGAGAATAGGGACATACTATGAATGGCAATAATATGTATTTGCTACATGTTGAAGAAAAAAAGATTAATTACAATTGAGTTAAAAAGGTTTAAATACAAAGAATTAAAAATTAAAAAAAATACCTTTCGAACACAATTTGAGATCCAGGGGAAATGATGGTCAAACAGTTCCACACAACGTTTGCATGCAGGACAATGTTTGGAGTGAATGGGTCTTATTATCTAGATAAAAGGATAATTAAATATTAATAATAATATATTTGAAGTGTGATTAAAAAAAGAATTAAAATAAAGAAATTAAAGAAAGTCTTTTTTAACAAACCTTGCAAGTAGGACATAATTGAGACCAATTTCCACTCCAATAAGCAGTGTTAGTTAAATCAATGGTCAACAAAAGGACCCTATATTAAGTCACAAGAAGAATTATAAAACAGTCAGTTTATTTATTTAGCACTAATTCTTGAGTAAGGATAAAATGGTCTTTTACCCTCATTGCAGCTAAATCACCTGATTCTTATTCTCATTCTCATTCATGAATGTTTACAACAATCATTTTGAAAACGTACATTCAAAACCCCATAAATCTATTTACTAATTTCTGAAAGAGGGTAAAATGGTCATTTTACTAATTAATCAGAAAGAAAGCATACGTCGGCATCAACATTATTCTTTATCCCTCCCGACATATTCACATAACCAGGATCTTTACTGAAAAAGTTATGAACAAAAAAAGTAGTCAACATTAACCAACACTATTAAATTTGTTGTATTTCTTGAAATATTTTAAAAAATAAAAAATAAAAAATATACCTGCTACAACGGATAAACATCAATAAAGAGGCGATTGAAAGGGTAACAACTGTCCATCCCCACAGCCCAACAACAACAGTGACCTTAACAAGATTGGAAGCTAAAATAGATGAAAGGGGGAAGATCTTGATTAGTAATTTAGTATAGTAAAATAAATCCTTTTAAGATGATTAAATAATAATATAAATTATTGATACCTACCAAAAAGAATGGAATTGATGAAGATTAATGTGCTGACAAATACTAAACATAACAAAAAATGGGCGTAGCCTATATCCAAGGTTTGTCTTTCCAACAACCGTTTTGTGCACGATGTGCATTAGACTACATAAATTTCATAAAAACAAAAAGATATTTATTATAAATTTTCATAAATAGTAAAAGAATTATGAGAAAGAAAAAGGAAACATACAAGGATCAAAGAAACAGGGCGATGGCCTCTATCTGCTGCAATTTGTGCAGGTGTAAATCCAACACTATCTTTCACCATTAATTCATGTTTTGTCCCTGAATGTAGAAGTACAACACATGCCTCCAAATTTCCTCTCAATGATACCCAATGCAAAGGGGTACAACCTAACAAAAAAATATATATTCAGTCCTTGTTGCTTTTTTTTGAGTTATGTGTTGCTTGGATTTGGATACATGATGTTTGAAAAATATTTGAGAAAGTGAGGGCAAAGGTGGGAAATGGAAGGAAACATGAATGGGGACAAAATTTTAAAATTTGTAGTTTTACAATGATATATAAAACATAAACCATTTCACACAAAAAGATGATCAGTTATTCAATTCAATCACCTTGATGCATAATAACCTCTCCAATGTACTGCAAAAAATTCATTACTAAATTCAATCACCTTGATGCATAATAACCTCATAAAACAGCTAATTCCAGTTATTAAAAAAACAAGCCTACATAGCTCAGTTCTGTCCCTGAATGAGACATAATATGAATCTGTAATATTAGCTAGTGAGATAAGGATTAAAGATAAACTGAAAAGTAAAAAAAAAAACGCTAATCTGGAGTTGTATTGTAGTTTTTTAGATAGGTTGTCAAGTACAGCAGCAACCAATTCCCTACAGTAAAATGACTACAGTAAGTATATAAGCTTTGGTTGGTCAGCAAATAAGTACAAGATTACAAGAATAGTACCTCTGGGAGGAATCAATAGCAGCAATAACATAGATCATAAAAACAGCCTGCATGAAATTAAAAAAGGTCAACATAAGCATACAGATCCCCACTAAATCAAATTGAGTCCAAAAACTTGATGAATGTTACACAACTTCTACATAAATTTGCCTTTGTAATGCCATTAAAAATTTAAACTAGTCGGATAAGAAAAAAGAGCACATGGTTGACATATAGAAAATTATATTCAAGAATGAAAATAGAAGTTGTAATATTCAAGTAGAGTATTAAACAAAATAGAAATTAAACTACACCAACATGTATAGATAAGATTACTCACTTGAACATAATTCATAAGTGGAACTGTCTTTCGCAACATGGGGCATATCACAACCTATAACACAACAGAACATATATAATAGTTACCCAAAATGCCCTTTCTCCAATTGATATTACAATAAATGATAGTACGTATATTCAATGAAAAAAGCACCTAAATTTAAAGAACATACCTTGCTGAAGTAACTAGCCAACAAAGCACTATGGGCACGGGTTGGCTCCAGGAATGAGAAAAGTAGATCCATTAGCTGAAAGTTTTGGGTTTGAAGAAGGAAATCATGTGAGAGAATGTAATAAAGAATGTATTTATGTAAATATAGGGAAGAGTGCTCAGATCGCCAATTGCTCATTTTCCTCCATCTGAGCCCTAACTATTTTAATTTCTTGTGAAACTGTCTCCATTCTCTACAGACAATAACAATTCAAAATCGAACATGAATATTTCTTCACAGACAGAACACATAACTAATAACTTACATGTAAGAATTGAAAGCAAGAGAAAATATTAATGTACGGTGGAAGTAATGTTGATTGAAGATCCATCGATGATTCTTGACGTTCTAGGATCGGGTGCCTTGGGCTTCGGTTTAATTGCGACAGAACGAGTCACACCATTTGGTCACTTAACCCTAACAATGCTCGGAAAGGAATGGTGACCAGCGGTGAATCTGGTACTGCAATCGTTAGAAGCTAACGAGCGAGAGGCTGCTTCCATGGCGGAATTTGCGAGACTTGCCATGGGCATAGTGAAATCGTTACGCTCTTACCAAAATGCCCAAATAGTGAATTAAATACAGGCGATTAGGGAAGGAAAGATGTGAAAGCGTAAAAGGCAAGACGTAGGGTTCCGGTGAGTTTTTTAATTTTTTGGGTTTCTAATCGAAGCAAGGAGGTCAATAGATGTTTTCAGACTGAAATCGTAGATTAGAGAGCCGAAGAGGAGAGAATCACAGAAGGCGTGAAGTGTGGATTGAGTTTTTAGGGTTCAATGGTGGTGCGATGGCTTAGGGTTTACAGAGAGAAGGAAGGGAGATACAGAGAGAAGAGAGTGCAGAAGCGGGGTAGTTCAAAATTTTAGAATTTGAGAGGATTTCATTTTCCCCCTTTACAAAGGCGCGTTCCAGTAAAAAATTATAAAGCGACACTTGTAGATGACACATATTTAAGATAAGCGCCTTCCATGTTTGTATTTTTTCTTTGGACATTAATTTTAGGGCACGCAAAAAAAGCGTGTCCTCTATCCTTCACATTTTGCAAAACTGACATTATTTTTTAGGGCACGCACAAATGCGTGTCCTCTATCAGCGCGTGTCATTGTTTGCGCGTCATTAAAGGATTGTTTTCTAGTAGTGTCTCTAGTTCTCGCAAGTACTTTAGAATGTTCCTATAAGTCACACAATGACTTGTTCTCGGATTATACTGGTATCACTCGTCATGCTCTATGCATACGACTTATTTGAACTTAATGCATAATCATGACATATATGATTTCTCCAATTACAGCAGCATATGGAATACAATCATGTTACCTAGTTCAAAAACATTTGCACTAGGATTTTGCTCAATATCATGTCATGTGTTTTTTGACAAGATGACTCTCTTAGAGTCCTTTATCTTAAGCTCATTTAAGATCCTTGACAATTAATTCAATTTTACTTAATCCTTTAAGTTGTCATGATCTATTTATATAGATCTTTATTACATGAATTAATATGTCGACTACATATAACCAAGGTTGTAAAAACGCTTGATGGTAGCTCGACGGTCAACTGGTGTTAAGGGATTAATCGGTCTTGGCGGTGATTAATCGGGACCATAGATTATTAATAAAATATTAAAATTAATCAAATATTAATATATATTAAGAAAAACAAGTACTTCAAAATTAGAAAATAAGAAATTTTGTAATTTGAAATTTTAAAAATAGGAAAATATGAACATTTTGGTATAATATTTGAAATTTTGAAAATTTAAAAATTTTGGTGTAAAATAAAAGTTGGTTTTTTGAAGTTTTTTTTTTAAATTTTTTAAATTTGTTTTTACTTTTTTTTTTGACTTTTTTGACTTTTGTTGACTTTTGTTGACCGATTAATCCCGTCAAGACCGATTAATCCCGCCAAACCCGATTAATCCAAAATTTCCGATTAATACCCTAATCCTCGACGGTTGGAGAACACCAAGTGATTAATCCACGATTAATCGCCGATTAATCCTGATTTCTGCAACCTTGCATATAACATTAGGAATGTTACTGCGCTCCCACTAACTTTGTAGAAAACACAAGAGTCATCTAGATTCATAATTAAATCACACCATGTAATTAACTAATAATAAAGAAGATTCTTACTTTGAGATGTTAGCTTAAATCTTGGAAAAATTTTCATTCAAGTATGTTTTCTCCCTTGAAAACTCACCTAATCTTTATAGTCACAATATATCAAGAAAGATTAATAAAGCCCATACTTGATAATCATACATGAATACATCTCTATGTGTTTTATTAGTTTTTGATCAACTATTGAACAGATTCAACAGTAGTTGAAAACTTGCTAGTTCCAAACTATAATGCATTTAGCATATGGATCTTTAGCACTTAAATATCCAAATTGCTCCTACTTAGAAAAAACACTTTCTAATCACTTGTCTTATGGAATGACAATTAGTGGGATTAGTAGAAACTTCATCCTAAACAAACATTTAGGATATTCTACATAAATGCAGTTAGTAGATGCTTGAATGGTTAAACTTATTGTCTAACATAAGCTCTATAACTCTATTCATTTTAGATAACGACAAACCATTACATCCTTAGTCTAATGAAAGTATTTAATCCACTTGTTTGGTTGGAAGATATATATAATATATATATATATATATATATATATATATATATATATATATATATATATTCAATATATATTTTTTGCAGTGAGCATAATTCCAAAAACTTATAAAGTAATTAGTTCTCTTAAAAAAATCATATAATAGACTGAAAGGTCTATCCTTATCCTCTTCAAAAACTTGTACTATCGACATTCAACCAGTGGCCAGGTGACCCTATCCCACTAGAGAATACGAAGGCTGCCTCGAATATCAAGAGATAGATTCAAGTCACCAGGTGATCCTGTGCCATAAGAAACATCCTAATGATGAGTGAGTGTTTTTGTCGGAATGAGTTGTGAATCAATTCTACAATTCCTAAGATGTTCCAAGAAGACTTGGTTTACAAAACTCATATTCTTCATCACAAAGAAAGGTTAATGATGATCTCATTAATGTGTATTTCAATCTTCACTATGAAAAATTTGATCAAATCAAAAGGTTTCATCAACGACGAATAAAAGTTGTCAGTGAAATTGATTAGGTATCCATCACCAAATCTATTCATGGATTAAAAAAAGATTACATACATCACTTATGTATAATTCTTTGTCAAGCCTTTTGTTCTTTAACTACTAATAGATAAAGACACTTGTTAATCATCTTCCATTATATCAAATGAATCAAGCTCATTTGCCTTCAAAAATTCCATCCTTTTGAAGTTGGTACATGTATTTCTTATTTATATTGTCATGATGATTATGAAATAGATAAGTTACAATCAAATATCATTTGATTATAAAGGTATTATGATAAGAACTATTAATTTAATGAAAGATTATAGATTTACTTCATAAATAACATTATGAGAAAATATTCTTTAAAACAGAATACATCGTTTCAGAACATGAATGTGAACATCCATTAACGATAAGTAAATCTAGATTTATTCATAAATTTACAACTGTTACATGTCCCTATAATAATAGGTACAAAAACATCTATTGTTTAAATAAAAGACTATAACAACACTTGTTATATCTTCAACACGAAATACCATTCGTTTGTAACCAGTTGATTATTTCTTCCAATCATCAACACATAATATCAATTATTAGTGTCACATAAAGTATTACATACTCAAGTGAATGATGGAAAAATAAATAGTTCTATCATATAGACATCTGAAGTCTTGTCCAACTCAGACTTTTTCAGCTTGATGAGACGAGAGGAGCAATTCCTCCTTTAGCGTCCAGTTTCTTCCACAATAGAAACAATACTAATCATTTGGTCCTTTCTTAATTTCTGGGTTTATGCTGTATTTCCCTTAACTGAACTATAAGTCTATATGAGTGCACAATCTCTTAGACTTCCGTTTATTTCTAGTGTTCTGGTTGAATATATGGTTTACTTGATGAGATATCTGATATGTTTTATAATTATCCAAGACTTTCTACAAGTCAAGGTTAATTTATTACGTATGATGTGAGACACATCAACATCATCATAATAATACTTTCATCAAAGTATCATGATCAGACTAACTGGTTGCAGAGGTTATTCAGGCATGAGATCTTTAAATATATATAATATCTATTTATTTTAAAGGTAGAACCTCAAGATATTATACTAGTTATAGAAATTATAACCATCAAATGTTACTGTCTCTTGAAGCTCAACAAGAGAGTGGTTTTGCAGGGCGTAAAATTATTAACAGTTATCAATAGAATTTAACAAAGTTTCATTTAGTATTTTCAATATTTAGTCTTTAAAAATTAATACCTTATATTGTTTCTTAAAATATTAATTTATTAAAGTTTAGGATCCAAGTAACGAAACAAGTAAATGGTTAGGTGACATTTATCCCATAAACTTAATCAAACTCGGTAGGTAGCGATTACCAATTGCATACGATATGTAACTTCTAGATTATGGGATCCTAAACGACTTTTTTTTTAGTTTGGCATGTTTATCCCATCTATGCCTTAAAACTCTAATGCTTAGGCGACCTTTATCACATAAGAAATTGATCAAATAATCCATTTAAAACACATGTGACTTCTATTTCACAAATGGTTAGGTAACCTTTATCCCATAAGCAAATACAAAAACACCTTGACTATTTTTGACAACTCAAATGAATAAGGTGACCCTAAAATCCATATGAACTGCACAAAAATCCCAAGTGAATTTTAAATGGATTGCATAGATTTGAAGTTTTGTAAGTAAGGGTTTATATATGTTTTACAATTATAGTTTATAAAAAACATGGTCTCATCAATATTGCATGCATCCAACAATTCATGTAACCTTTTGTAAAATTCATATCACTTGTTATGAGGTTATTTTGGTGCCAAATAAAATTTCATTTTATTTGCCATTAACCGTGATCAATTATAAACTAAAATCCGGTATTTTAAAGTTT